ATGTCCAGGATAAATATTTTCTTCTAACAAAATAAATATCAATAATAGAAATATCAGTAATTTTATCTTTGCTTACATAACATTTATATCGATATTAACAAGAGGTTTATCTTCGCTTACATAATATTTATATCGATATTAATAAGAAGTAAATTATTAGCTTTTACTTTTAGCACTTTGCGTTGTATCAGATTTGAACGCTCAAATTTTAGACGGTATAATTTGTTATATAGTTTTAAATGATTGTGATTAAAATATTATTATAGTCTCGAGATTTTTTTGAGGGATTAGAATTTTCATCTCAAAATGACTTCAAGAATCTACCATTAGCAGATGCATCGAGTCTGAAACACCCTGTATATAACATATTATATAAATATATATATTTAACATCTATGTACATAATTATATACATACATATATATATATATATAATATATATATTACAATATATATTTATATATAATATTTCAGCACTTAATCATTCATTTTCTATTTGCAGTTATATTGAAGTGAATTATGAAGTCAGAAAGCGAGGAATCGTATTCTTTTGTGCATTATATATATCGCTATAAATTAATCTTTTTATACGCCACCATATACACACACTTAATAGCTATATATAAATCCTATAAGTAAAAGATTCAAAAAACATTCCCCCTTTTCTATTTTGTGTTAGTAAACGAGCATATAATTTAATGCGCCCTATATTCCCAGCAAATATAAACCTTGCGATAAAATTTATGACTATTTATTAATTTACAAATTAAAAGTAGAGATTGGTATATTTTATCAATGCTATATAAGCGAAAAGATCTCATTTATTTCAAAATAGTATAAAAAAAGTTTTCGTAACTTTTCGTTTTTGATATCATAATTTAATACAACTGCAGTGAAGAAAATAAAAACTTTAAATTATTGAAGAATATTATTTGCGATCACTGCAGCAGTAAGTGCTTCAATTTATTTCGACCCGTCGAAACAATGGCATCATAGCGTTTTATTTCTATTGCTATTTCGTACAACGTTTCCTGACAATTAAGATATCGATAAGTGTCACTAATATAATACAGGATATCATTTTTACGAACCCTTGAACGGTGGCTGGATCTCTCACACACATACACCCGCGCGCGCGCGCGCGCCCCACACACACACACACACACACACACACACACCATGAAACTCGATATTCGTTTGTTTTCAAAGATTAATTCGTACATTCTCTTTACATTGCAAGGATATAAAAAATTAAAAACTGCTTTTTCCAACTGTTGTTTTATCAACTGATTGTAAGTGTAGTAACTGCCTATTTCCAGTGAATAATTTTATTCAATTGCTTAAATAAATAATCTTTATAAATAAAAATCTATAAAAAAAATAGTAGAATAAATATAGTAGAATAGTAGAATAATATAGTAATATTCTAAATATAGTAGAATAGTATAGATTTATATAGTAAATAATAATATATATTTAAGTACTTAATACATTCTAGTATTAAAAATATTGTGTTTTTAGTTTTATTCTAACAAGAATATCTTATTAACTGAATGTCTTATTAACTCATAATTTAAATTGCAAAAGAGATTGACAAAAATGATCGTAAAATTATATGTCGATCGAAAACTTTTTGCTGCTATTATCCCTTCGTGTATATTTATACACGAAGCAATTTTTATCCAATTATTATCCAATAGAATACAGATCAAAAACGATTTCCGAAAGGTATACCTTTCGAGGGTTGATACGATATTACTGCAAACAGCCGAGTCAGCCTATTATGTTTCGTTATGGAATTTTTCTTTTGAGAAACTTGTTCGGTAATATGTACCCGATGGCTGTATCGCCGTGCTTGCACATCCGTACGAACATCACAACTATTTTTAACAAGTTTCGCACTAATGCAAAAACTTGCGAAATATAACGTCTAATAAGCTCCACTACATCGTAGCAAAAAAAAAAACCGACTAAACCGCGTAATTTTCATGCTGGTATTTCTATGAGTTTCTTCAAAATTGCATAAAAGGATATTAAAATGATAAAACAACGAAACGAACTAAAATAAAAATACAAGAAAAACAAAAATACGCTCCGAGTATCGTTTGTTTACAACGTTAGCTAACAACAGTTTGCAAACTTTTTCGTCTTCACTTGCATTTCTATGGAATACAATGCGAAAAACGTCACCGGTGGAGCGGCGAATGTGCTAAGTTTATAGAACTTTCAACTACTACTTGCGGTACAATTTCTATTCTGTAATCCTTAGACGAATAATTGTTTCATCTAATTCGATATGTGTGTCAAGTCATTGTCACGTCGGAACCGGAAAGAGGTCACCATACAATATGGTACAGCAGGCTGAGCACTGTTCGGATGGGGAAAGATGTGGCTGACGGAAACGTCGATTAACCGTACAAAGCTGGAGCGAGGCGCTTATTCGCGAATTCGGCGGAGCGCACGTCATGGAGGCTCTGGCAGATGCAGCCGCAACGCGCGCACATTAGAGGTTGTAACGAGATGAAAGCGAGGCTAACACACGTCTGGTACATCGGTCGATGTTCAAGAGTTTACCGCATCTCTATACCTCTCAGCCCTCGTCCCCTTCCTTCCTCGTCGGAGCATAAAATTTATGGCGTGTAATATCATTACGCCGCAAATCGGTCCGCGATTCCATTCGCGCCGCGAGATTCGCATAGGAGCTGAAATGTATGATCGGCTCGAAGAAAAAGGGTAATATTCGCGCGTGCCACGCCAGAATTCGCGTGTTAGAATAAAATTATCCGGCCGCAACGTGTACGTGGCACGGTATATATATATATATATATATATAATATATCGGGTATCCCGCCGTGTAATGTATCGGATAACTGTCAGATGGATATAGCGAAAGTTTCACCTCTCCGCTTAAGACGCGCTTAAGCGATTTTGCGTTTCTCGAGGATAACGCAGATGTTAGTTTTGCATTCGCGAGCGCGGTGCAGCCGCGAAAGCGCGTGATGCATTTCGCATTAATGTATTCCTTGTGCATCCCCGACTGCCGCCACGTGGGTTTAACGCGGATTCGTAATAATTTATCTTCCGTTAGGACGTTTTAAAGTAAAGTTTAAGTTCTTTACAGGGCAACGGAGGACCGATTGTTACGTTTAACGATAACGCGCCGCGCAAACAGACAGTTCCTACCAGGAACAATTCAACCGCGCTCAAGACAACAGAAATTGCAATTTCCCAGATCAAAGCCGCGCCTGGTTGCCAATTAGACGACTCAATCAACTTCCGTGTTCTCCAGCTTTGGGAAAATCACATTCGCAAGATACGGCGGGCGCCGATTACGTAATATATTACAGCTGAATATTACACGAATATTATAGCTGAATATTATAGCTGATGAAAAAGACAAGAACCATAGAATCTTATTAAATAATCTTGCGCATTGCGTTTAACTGTACTTTTGTTAAAAAATTACTGTGTAATTTTATTTGAAATTTCGAATTTTCATACATCACTGCTCCAGTATTCATACGACAAATTCTCATATTTCTGTCGGCCATTTCAATAAATAAACGTAATTTGAAAAAGACTTATAATTCCATTTGTGAAAAATAAAATTCTGAAGTTAGTTCTTCCACGAAATTCTGATTTCACTGAGCGCCAGTGTAAATTGGATGCAGCGTTTAAGGAAAGTAATGAATTAGGAGTAGAGAAGCTTGAACTCAATTATAACGGATGTCAATTTAACATTTCACGACATTGAAAGTCAGAAAATCAATGAATTTACATTTCGGCGAAGCAAAATAAAGAAATTTCTTTGCGAGCTTTCTCAAAATTAATTAATCAACAAATTTATTACTTTTTGCATCTGTGAGCACTAAAAAATGCATTCGTTTTAAATATTGAATATTGAGAAAGAAGACATGAACGATATTTATGATTTATTTATCAAATAGAAGAAAAAAATCCATTAGATATATTTTATATTGTTTATTATTAAACGAAAAAGAGCCATTGCGATAAAATAATATTTCAATCTTTTCGTTAAACAAATTCTTAAATTTTCTAATTCACTATAAACTGCAAGATGACATACTCGCAGAAAAAGAAGAGGTAGAAATGTTTTGAGATAATGTACGTTAAATTTGTATGCTAAATATTTACATGAATAAAGAATTTGTATGTACAGAAAAAAATCAGAAAAAAAGAGAATAAAAGAAGAAAAGTTTAAAAAAGTCGAATGTTTATACACTAATTGTATACAAAGCTACTTAATGTTATTTTTTTATCGTGAGATATGTTTTTTATTTTTACATTAGACTGGACTAGAATTCTTTTTCTCACTTTCGCCAAATATAAAATATATTGTTTCAAATTCCAAAATGATTTTGCGATGAGCAGTTCAAAACCCGGTAAATTATTACAATCGATGCCAAGCCGTCCAAAATGTGATTGAGAAATATACTTCATAATATCAGCTAAATGTCAAATTCACACATTAATTCTCTTCTCTTAAACGACTAAAATATGCGAAATTCACTTCCAAATGTACAATTTATTATTGTACTAACATTCCAAAATATTTGGTTTGCTATTTTATAAGTTATTCGTCTAAAATAATTAAAGAAGTAATATTTCCATTTGAAATATTTCTTTTGTCGAAATTCGAAATATCATCTTCCAGCAATTTGCTGATAGATGATATTCTGAATTTCGATCCGAGTATCTCGATGTCGAAGAGATTATTGCAGATATATATCAATATCCCTCGGAATTCTTCGAGACTTTCCAACGAATAAGGTGTTGAGAACGTTTTCAACTGATAAAATTACCCATCCCTTTCCGTCGGCAAACGCGAAGGAGTTTCCAACTTGAGCAATTATACACAGACTCTTATGTGGGCTCGAACGACAGGACTCATTCCGCTTTACGCCTTTTGAACCGACGCGTTTACCGAAGTAATAAAGACCTCGCCGTACGACTGCGGACGAAAGGCAATCAGCACTTACGTGTTCGTGTGATTCCGCGAGAATGGATGTCGGGTACCGGGAGCCTCTCACTCGTGACTGGTCATACCGAAGAACACACGTACACACTCGGTACACCTACACACACCTTTTTCCTTCCTTTTTCTACCGATCGCGCGAGCGGATTTACGATCGCAGCTTATAAATCACAGTTCCCCCGAAGATAGAGTCTTCAACGTTTCTTCCCCACTCGAATCATTCTTCGCCGCCGGCGAACAATCCCTAACTCGTCCGTGTTCTTCCTCTTCCGCTCCCGATGGCACCGTAAAGTCCTTTCCGCACTCGCGATAAGATAAATCGTATATTTATTCCTGAGCACCGATTTCCTTATTCGTTTCGTGAATTTGCAACGCGGTTGTAGCACGTTATATCCGCAATATGCATCGACGACAGACGGAGAAAAAGAGAAAAGGAGTGACAGCGACGAAAATTGCCGCGCTCCGCGTCGCGCCGCGTCGCTTCGCGACGCTTCCTCCCTTCAGCGAAAACACCCCCTCACTTTTGCAAGGTGAACGATCGACGAACCGTGTGCGGTTCGCAACCCGGCACGAGTCGAACTCGCTACCTCCTCAGGACGGTGTTCCGGTGGGGTTGACGCCGCCGCCGCCGCCGCCGCCGCCGCCGCCGCCGCCGCCGATACCGGCGCTGCAGGTCGCGAGGGTGGCTCCAGCTTCGCGACTGCGCCCTCTCTGCTCTCTTCAACCCATTACGTACCTTGCACACGCGTGACCGTGAGACAACACGCTCTTTACGCGTACGTATCGCATACGTGTGGGAAGAGAGGCTGGGGTCTCTTTTTCTCTCTCTCTGTCTCTCCCTCCTCTCTCTCTCTCTCTCCCTCTCCCCCCCCCTCTCTTTCTCTCTCTGTTTCTCTTTTCTCCTGCCAATCCTTCTCTCTTCTGCTTTCTCGCACCGCGTACACCCCTGAGACCCCTGCCGTCTATCTACAGCCCCGGACCGAGTCTCTCGCCACCGCAACACGTAGCCTCGTAGTGGCTTTCTCTACCATCGTCTCCCTCTCCCTCCTCCTCATCCTGCCTCGATTGTGCTATAACTCGCGATACATTGCCGTATCACTTTATGTCTGGCATAACGTTTTATTAACCAGAAATCAAGTGCGCTTCCTTCGATCCCCTCAGCCGAGAGTCCCTCCATGTTCTTCCATGTATTTTCCTATGTCTTCTGTACTGGTTTCTATTTATTCACGCTCTTGTCTGACGGACATGCTATTTCTTTGGCACTCAACTGCTGCTAATGTCATGCCGGTTCCACATATGGTGAATATGATTGTTGCTTAGAACATTTCTATTAACTGTCATGCCCGTTGCTTTCAGCCTGATGTCCTCGATCGTGTATATGTGTGTATGTATATATATTCTTGTCGTTCTTTTATTCGTTCTTTTCTTGTTCGTTCAATTTTCCGCGTTTCTGCAATGACATTTCTTTGGCTTTACATTGACGCATACGTCGACTCGCGTCTTCATAAAAATAGTAACGTTGCGTTACAATTTTCCTCAAACCGGATATGAAATGTTCTCTTGCCTGACCTTACTCTCGATCGCAGATGCATATTTACAACGTATTATATTTTATATTTCTTTATCATCTACTTTTGCAATAAATTATTTATAGCCCTTTAAAATGCCTTATTAGCATCAAATTAATTACAGCTCTTTAGGACGCTTATTAGCATCGATATTAAACTGCTTGGCAATTTAATTTGTGATATTACTACCCCAATCTGGCGTTTAAGATTGCATTTAAAGACTAAAAATGATTTCGGAGCACAATTGTAAAACTAAATGTGTATATAAATTTACACTGAAATATTATTTAAGTATTAAGATTTATCGATCTCAGATCGAAAAATCCTTTTTGTCACTTAGTGTTTATTATTCCTTTTACTTTAATAATTTTTAAGTTTAGTAATAATTTTTAAGTTGGACAAAAGCTTTAAGGAAAATTAATTGTAAAGATCCAATCTTTTTGTACTCCAAAAGTTATTAACCATTATATTTCAAGAGTCATTATATTATAAATTATATATTATGAATTATTATATTATATTTTTCCCATTATTTTTCTATATTTTTAGCTAATATCCATTGTATCTAAAAACTAAAAGGTTGCAAATAAAGTAGATGATTTTCGACCGAATTGTTGATTAAATCTTCAAACGTTAAACCTTCTATAAAGAATTTGTAACGAGGGAAAAATGTACCGTTTTCGATATGTTCTGTAAGCTCATAAGCAGGTACTTGTACAACAGCACAAGGAACAACTTCCGCGTTCGCTTGTAATAGCGTATTCTGATTGTTTGAAGAAGAAGTATTACCTTTTATGCTCTAGAATCGATGCTGAAATTTAACGATGGTTGTAAACTTTTATAAGGATCTTATTAATGATTGTATTTCGCTGTGGAAATTGTTTTTATAGTCTTCTTTTATAGCATTCACGTATAATATTTTTTGTGTTACAGTTTATTTTGCCCTTTGTTTATACATAAAATATTAAATCTACTGATGTGTTCATCAAAGAACGATTATATTATATTATTGCATTAACGTCTTAAGAACGTTAACACGTTTTAAACTTCTATATTAAATTATAAAAATGAAAATAAATGATAACCGATAACTTCTCTCTTTATTAATTAGATTTAATTTACAATTTAATTCTAATAGTCACGTAATATCGGAGATGTGGCCAATAAAATGACTCTTTTTAAATATTTCTGCTAACGAAAAATTGACTTTGCTGGAGAATTAACGTCGAAAAGACAATCGACTAAAGGATAACTATCTCTATTATGTCTGTGTCTATTAGTGTATCTTTGTATTTAAGTAAGCCATAAAGAAAATTAGCGCAGATAAATACGAAAAAGTTTTGTTTTACTAAATTCAATTGTTAATGTACACGATACTAAAAATAATATTCTATTTTTTAACTATTAAAGTATAATAAACATTTTTCGAAAGATACGAGGAATTTATGTGAATTCATAAATACCGTAAGATTTTAAGTTTGTCTCTATCAACTTGAAATTTAGCTTTAAAAAGCTTTAGGAATTATCGCTGCAAATGCAGCGTTCAAAAGGTTAAATAGATGCCTAATTATTCACCTGGTTGCCCTCGACGTTGAATATGCTTGTCAAAACGCGCATATCGGTAGACTATAGAGAAATTAATACCAAAGCATATGTTTCGAACAGACCCGCCTAACCGGCGCATCGGCGCGTGGTAACCAAATCCGTGGGAGTTGTGTGCATACGCCGGTATGCGTGAGCGAGGAAACAGGGGTTGGGGAAGGGAAGAAGATAGGCACAAAGTCCGTGGAGAGTGCCAGTCGGATGATATAGTGGATACCGGTCTGTGGTGGCGGTATGGTGGTTACAGATAAGGAACAGGTCGCATCGCAAAGCCCGGGGTGGAGATGGTACTAATTTTGTGAGCGAACGAGAGTAACGGCAATACCCGCTTCCGGCTTTCGTGTCTGAGAAGACGGAAGTAACGCGCCGCGCGTATATATACCCGCAGACTCTTTACATTTAACGAAACGTCGATATTTCCACTTCATATTATGTAAGAAAATATCGTAAATAAATTGACGCTATTATTTTTCCGAAAAACGCATCAATACGTCGCGCAATAATCGAGTAATATATAACATTTGCATAAGATATTCAGTATCCGAGTCGAAATATTAATGTTTCGGTATCGAATGTCATATCTATGAAATATTTCTCGGGGAGAAAAATGTTTAAAATTAATAAGGAAATATCGGAATATTTTTATTCATTGAATACGTGAATGCGCCGTAAACATCGCGAGTAATACGATTTTCTCAAAACGTACCAGGTACGTGCCCGATATAATTTCTCCAAAAGAATCCATCGGTTTGTTTCTCGATATTTTCTTTCGCCGAGTAAGACACGTTACCAGATATTCTCCTCAAAAAGCCGATACTCCGCAATCTCGAAATATCGTAAATATCCAAGTAACACCCGCGTGGATAACGTACGTAAGCGCGGGTTAGTCGAGCATATTTCATCCCACTCGCGCATCCACGTACCGCATACGCCGCGGAATTGGGTGACTATGACGAAACGCGAGGGATTTCGCAGCTAGCGTGGCGGAGATTCGCTTCTCCCGCGCCTCGCTGTCAAAACGGGAAGTACGTACGCGGAAAAGTAAAGTAGGATACTGTGCCGAATGGTTACATAGATAAGGCGAGTCTCACCGGTCTCACCCGCATCGAGAAGAGAAAGGAAAAGGAGAGAGAGAGAGAGAGAGAAAGAGAAAGGAAGCAAGCGTAAAGTTTGATCCCCTTCGTTCTCTCTCGCTACTTTCGCCTCTCTTTGCCTCTTTCCTTTTGGATTTGCCGAACGCGCTCGGGCACATCTGCTCCTTCCGTGTGTTGCTCATGCGAAAGAAGGACTCCAAGGAAAAGAAAGAAAAAGAAAAAGAGAGAGAGAGAGAGAGAGAAAGGGTGGAATTGAACTAGGATCAGCGGAATTTACTTCGGCGGATTGTGTGAGCACGCGTTTTCTCTGCTACGACCAAACGGCAAGGCGCGTGACAGAAATTGCGTTTCGAGTATCGATGCGTTTGAGGATATCCTGACTTACATACAAATTAGAAATATTCAAACGCGATGACGACGTTAGCAAAGATTCTCTCTCTCTCTCTCTCTCTCTCTCACTCCGGAGACATTGTATCAGTTGTTTGATTAGAGCAAACCAAACGGCGGCAGCAACGGCGAGGACGGCGGCGGCTGTGTACAAATTCTCGTGAAATATACAACGTGTAGGACGTGCACACGTGTGCGCGACGGAGATGTACACAGCTGCGGAATCGTGAATATTCCGCCGGTAATCAGTCGCGCTTCAACAGTCGGTCCTCCGAAATAGTCCGGGAATTACATATTGCATAACTCGCGTTGGCATTTCGTATAAAATGATCGTACGCGACAAAATTCGAGATAACAGGGCGAAGATAAGCGCGATAATGTCACCGCTTGTCGGCGAAGAGTCATGTTGAAGGGGCGAAAGTATGCTAATTACAATGCACGAATGAAAAAAGGGCATTGTACGCGCGTGCTTTTATATATATATATTATATATATATAAATAACGTCGTATTAATAT